TCGACCCCTCACTCAGCAGCAGCAGCACGGCTGCACCCAGCCAGCCGGGAGGGACCCAGACACTCCTCGCAGCAGAGCACGACAGAAGCAAGCTCACCACGGCTGCAGGATTGCCCGCCACCGCCCGCCCTGTTGATGGGGCCCTCCTCGCACCACAGCCTCCAGCCCCCAGAGCTCAGTTCCTCACAAGCCCTCAGCTGCTCACCCTGCCGAGGTCAGGCCTCCGACGGGGTTCAGAACGGCTCTCCAGCCAGGTTCCATCTCAGGCTGGCTGCAGGAGGGACGGGGCTGGGACCGACACCCCAGGCCAACTGGAGGTCTCCATGGTTTGGAACACCTCACCTCTTCCAGGCACTGCGTCACCAGCTGGAAGATACAGGTTAGGGCCCAGAGCTCTGTGCTCAGTGCTGCTCAGAGCACAGCCCACCTGGCAAAGGGCTGGGAAGTGGCACATCGGACACCTCAGGTCAGAGAAGAGCGAGCTCAGGGCTAGGAGGGGGAAGCCTGGAGGGCAATGTTCTAACCCACTCCTTGTTCGGGAAGTTCACTGGGAAAAGCATCCCAAACAGCTTCCAAAAAACAGCTTCCTAAACTCCAAATCAACCAGAGCAAAGCCGATGTCCACCTCCAGCAGGAAATCCCCACCAGCTATCTGCTCCTGTCCTGCCACATCATGGCTTTCATCAGGTTTACCGGCTTCTCAGCCCAGAAGACGGCAGTATCAGTTCAGCTACATGAGAAACACATCACCAAAAACCACCCAGTATGGCAAACTGCGGTTTCACTTGTGCCATCCCAGTCTGTCCCCTCTGCTCAGGAGACTTTCAGCAGCCAGGAGATCACAGACTTCACCCCCACGTCCTGCTTCTCTAAAACAACTCGGTAATCAGCTCAAATCTCTGGGGAGGGGAGAGGGGGATCAAAGTGTTTGTGGAAATGAAGCCTGGCCACAAATAGCTTCTCAGCTGTGTCACACAGCTCTAAGTCTAAGCACTCTTCCAACACCCACAGACAGAAGCTGCACCAGGAAAGACAGTAACCATGCCACAGCTTAATTTCCAGTAATATGCAGACACTCAGGACTAGCGCTGGTCCCGCGCTGCCCAGAAGGCAGGCAGTCTTCCCCCTCTTGAAAAAAAAGAAGCAAGAGCAACACAAGTTCTGATCACAGATCCAACTCCAGAGTTAAATCCCGTCAGCCTCCTCCCAAACTCGGACAACTCTCCCTTCTGTTACTTCTCTACCAGCTTTGCTGGAGGAAGACAAGCGCAATGTTTTCCCCATCCCGGCAACTGCGTCACCCAGTGTCGGCTGCTCAGCAAGAGGCCCAAGCTGCCCGTCCTCCTGCAGCACACCTCTGCAGAGAAGGGTTTTCTGGGCAGGCATCACTACTTTAGTTGCACCAGCCATTCATTTTTGCCTTCAAGAGCAGCAGCACCTTTGCCTGCATGCCAGAAGCCTTGTGGAGAATTCAGAGAGATTCCAACTCAATCTCTCAGTCAAGCTTAGAGAAAATGATGGCAGCATGAAACGACAGCACACGGCAAAGGCAGCCAGCGGCAGCACCACACCACAGCGCCTCGCAAGAGCCCAGAGAGCACAGAGAGCGCAACACAAGGGGACACAACGGAAGCCAGCAAGGTCGAGAATAAGTCACTTTTGGTACAATTGCAAAAAGATATCAAACAGGACTTGCCTCTTTTTTTGTCTTTTTCTAAGTTTTATAAATAAAGTCTGATAACTCTTTATAAAAACTGAGCTCAGAGCCACAAACAGTTTGCAGGAGGTTCATGAGAAACTTTAAAATTATTTATTTATTAACTTTCAACTAGCAAAGTCTCCGAGAATATTTCCCCATTTATATGGTCAAATATTCTCACCCTCTCGGATAAAAAAGCTGACTATAAATACGCTCTCTCTTCTGACTGATTTTAATTTTAAACTTAGATAATTTAATAACTCTTAAAATGATGTTTCTCTCTTTAAATAAAGGGCTATTTAACCACATAAACTGGTTGTGTAAACCATCACACTAGAGACACTTGATACCCTCAAAACACGGGAACAACTAGTGATTTTGGTCTTGTTCAGTGCAACGCATTAGGCACAAAACCGGCCTGCAGCCAACACGGTACCTTCCCTCCCTCCCCGGGGGTGCTGGGCCGCTGCCCGGGCCCCGTCCCGGCTCCCTCCCCGGCGCTGGGGCAGAGGCAGCGGGGCACGACAGCCCCCCCCCTCCCACCACCGCCCGCTTTCA